GTGATATGATTGCCAATGAGACAATGCTCCACCAGAGACCAAATGGCATAGAAGTTTACAACTATAGGTCACCGTTCGATATAGTTATTTACAGATTTTAAAATAGCAATGTTTATATCATACGAAAATAATAGATTTCTAAATAAGTGAATATTTATTTCAACATTAATATCAACAATTTTATGATGGAATCAAGTAAGATCAGTCGTCCATCATTGTACTTAGGGCAAATATAAAATAAATGGTCGTTATCTTCAACGGGGTGATCAAAGTTTGAACAATAGTATCCTCTGATAACAAATGTTGAACAAATTTTAGGTTGTTAGCATTATTTCTAAGTTGACAATGACTGGTGCTATATTTCCTTATCCCATAATTGAAGGGTTTAGATATTTCATCAGTCCTGTCACATTTGTGTAGTCTATTTTTAAATATAGATAAACTTCAGAATTCTTTTATACTTAGAGGAGATAATTCCAAAGCCTTTTAGCGGAAGGGATGAACCTATTGAAATAAAAGTTAGTTCTAGCAAAAAGTAAAACAACAAAAATACCGAACTCCAATGAAAATTTAAAACGGAAAGTCCCTTATCATGTGGCAATATCAAAAACTCAAACACAGAAAACGAATGGAAAACAACTGTCATATGCCTGACTTAGTACAGGCATTTCCTTATGTAGAAATTCGTTGATTAAACCTGGTTTTACAGCTAGCTTAACCTCTCACGTGTATGACAGTCATATAGCATTCCATTATATTGACAACAATGTGTTAGCAAAACAAACAGACATAATCAGTAAGTGGAGGTGACAAGTATAATTTTCATTTTTCAAAGTATGTGAGGTTTGTCTGGAAAAATATGGCTTAACTAATTCATATAAGTATCCTGGTGTCATCCCATTTGATAATTTATCAATCAGTATAAACTTATGTTTATTTCTTATATTCTCGAAAGTTTATAATCCTATTTTAATATAAAGTTATGTCTTTAGGAATTACGCAGTAGTTCAATAATAATTGTAACAGTTCTATTTGAATATTTTCAAAAAACTCGGACTCATGTTACATGCAGTTGCCCGAAACGACGTCACTCTTCTGTAATATTGGTCTAATAAAAGCATAGTAAATACGTATATGTGAATTCCTGTCTAACAAATGTTTAACTTATTGAAAAACAGATAACCGAGAACATGTATTTTCATAATATTATCAACATGTTTGTTCCATGAAGCTGACGACTGAAACGTTCTCCCAAAAAACCAGGCGGATGCTTCCTTTCCCTTCTAGTAAAAGCACTATGTTTTGTTTTCTTGGAGTTATATTGAAAAGACGATGTTTTAGCCCATTTTTAGATATTATCCAAGTCATCATTCATAGAAGCAGCTGCAACAGCATGAGCATGGTCTACTATAACAAACAAAGAAGTGCCATCTGCAACAAATGTTATGTCCTTTTCAATTGCATTTACTATATCATTAACATATTTAGAAACAGACAGGATCCTTAAACCGATCCCTGGGGAACACCTGCATTTATGCTTTTCACGGTTGATGAAACACATATGATACCACTTTTTGTTTGCCGATTTGAACGATAACTTTTTATGTAAACTATTTCTATCTAATCTTACAGGTTTTTGAAACCCTTTTATGTGATCTAGTCATCATTAATTGACGTGTCAAGATAGGATTCTGATAGATAAATAATATCATACTCATGTTGTTCATTATAAATGAGGACTAAGTTAGGAGGAAAACAAGCATAAGATTGTGAGTTATAGGATTATGTTTGCAAAGTTAAGATAAAAAAACATAACCAGGATATCAAAAAGCTTTCAAGACAAGAGATAGGTACACAAGGAATATTCGTGACTCACAAAAAGGACTATTGAATACTACTTATGATCAGCATTAAAACAATTAAGAAATAATAGATATCTATAAATTAAGAAATGTCCAAATAAAGGCAACAGTAGTATACCGCTGTTCGAAATTCATAAATCGATTGAGAAAAAAAACAAATCCGGGTTACAAACTAAAACTGAGGGAAACACATCAAATATAAGAGGAGAACTAGGACACAACATTAAAATGTAACACACACAGAAACGAACTATAATATAACAATGGCCATTTTCCTGACTTGGTACAGGACATTTTAAGATAAAAATGGTGGGTTGAACCTGGTTTTGTGGTTAGCCAAACCTCCCGCTAAATCACTGACCACAACAACAAAATGTCTCCTTTTCCCCATAAGATAATGGAGGATAAGAAAAACGTTTTAACAACAAAAATCCAGTTTAAGAATAGAAGTAAAATTGACTAGTCTTGTATCTAGTTTGTGTGCGTGATGGATTCTTATCATTAGACGTATTCCTACAATAATCGTTATGATTGCTGAAACAAATTTAGAAAGTATTTTGGTTTATATTTTTGCAAGACAAATATTAGTAACAATACAACCTTTTTTCGGTTGTTGTGTGTGAATATTATGTTTAAAAACGTATTACCTAATTGTATGGACGGAAGTGATAAAATATGTATGTTGAACATCTGTTTACCTAGACCTAATTTTGGAAATGTAAACTAAATATCTAAATGCCTCGTTTAGCCTTCTAAAAAACTTCACACAAAACATAAAAATACATTGGGGTCGGCTCCTTCTACATGTTTTCTAGGACACTGGACACGGTGCAGATGGTGTTGCCACGATGTCACAAAAGCAAGGTTCGAAGAAGGCTGTTGCCTTTATTTGGACATTTCTTAATTTATAGATATCTATTATTTCTTAATTGTTTTAATGCTGATCATAAGTAGTATTCAATAGTCCTTTTTGTGAGTCACGAATATTCCTTGTGTACCTATCTCTTGTCTTGAAAGCTATTGAAGATCTAACATGGTTGGTCTAAACTTGAGACGAGTTACATATATATATACATGCTAAACTTGAGACAGTTTATGTATATATATTTACAGATCTAACATTGTTGGGCTGTTATTTAGACAAATTATGTATACAGAATGTGTTTTCAGCCTTGTATCACCATCACTGGTGATCCGATGGATAAGATCTGTCGTAGATTTAGGATAGACTCTTGAATTTTGAGGAGTCAAAATAGGATGAACGGATCATATAAACCCGAAGGCAAATATAATACAAGTCCAACGCAATCATAGGTTTGAACGTTGTTTTCAATTTAGATTTGTTTATATTTTTTCGTTTGGGCTTGTATTATATTTGCCTTCGGGTTTATATGATCTGTTCATCCTATTTTGACTCCTCAAAATTCAAGAGTCTATCCTAAATTGAGGTAAATTATGTGGCCAATAACTGTTTCGATTCCTAACATCACTGAAGAGACATTAATTGTCGAAATCCAGATATGGTGTACAAATTTTTGCTCTCATGTTTGCGGTATACCATCTTTTCCGCAAGTTTATTGTTTTCTGTTTGGTAATAATTTAATAATAAGATCTGTTATGTTACATCTTGTGATCCGTTTATTTGGCAATCGCCAATGGCAGTCAGCAGGGTTTAAGAACATCAGATGTTCGACCTGCTAGTCAAATGCATTTTGTTAAAATATACTTTTTCACTCATTTGGTCTTTTGGAAAATGTTGTTTGTGCTGTACTTAGACCCCTTTACCAAGAAATTTGGTTTGCATGCACACGTATAAAAATTGCGGTTTTTATCCAACGCAATCATAGGTTTGAACGTTGTTTTCAATTAAGACTTGTTTATATTTTTTCGTTTGGGCTTGTATTATATTTGCCTTCGGGTTTATATGATCCGTTCATCCTATTTTGACTCTTTCAAAATTCAAGAGTCTATCCTAAATTGAGGTAAATGATATGGCCTTCCAAATACCGTTTCGATTCCTAACATCACTGAAGAGACATTCATTGTCGAAATCCAGATATGGTGTACAAATTTTTGCTCTCATGTTTGCGGTATACCATCTTTTCCGCAAGTTTATTGTTTTCTGTTTGGTAATAATTTAATAATAAGATCTGTTTTGTTACATCTTGTGATCCGTTTATTTGGCAATCACCAATGGCAGTCAGCAGGGTTTAAGAACATCAGTTGTTCGACCTGCTAGTCAAATGCGTTTTGTTAAAATATACTTTTTCACTCATTTGGTCTTTTGGAAAATGTTGTTTGTGCTGTATTTAGACCCCTCTACCAAGAAATTTGGTTTGCATGCACACGTATAAAAATTGCGGTTTTTATCCAACGCAATCATAGGTTTGAACGTTATTTCCAATTTAGACTTGTATATAAAAACCGCAATTTTTATACGTGTGCATGCAAAACAAATTTCTTAGTAGAGGGGTCTAAATACAGCTAAAAAACAACATTTTCCAAAAGACCAAAAAATATATATATGTATTTTAACAACAAATATGAAACAGCACGCTCAAGAAGTCAATTTACACACATATTATTATTTCAATTGTTTTGCTTTGTCGTCAAATTTTTCAAATTGATGTCTAGAACCTTTCTCGTCTGATCCTTATAAATGATTACCAAAATACTACAAACTCACAACATTGTCAGAATTTTTAAGAAATCCTGATTGAGTTTTGTAATCTCGTCAACAATTTTCGTTCAGAGCGCTTCGTTTATACTCGTCTATAAACACATGATTGTAATTTTAGTATCCACCCTAAAAATCGCGTGAGGATTTGTTTAGGATTACCTTCTTTTCCAGGTATTCTGTGCATTTTGACAGTTTCAGAAGGGTTGGTGTCTAATTAAACTGCGTTCGTTAGTTCGTTAAGAAGATAATGTGATAACTATTCCTTGCAATTGTCTCGCAACTGGTATATTTACACATTCTTTTTGCGTTATTTTTTAAAAAATTTGCCAATTGAGGCCCTAGAGGTTATGTATATGCAACCTTAAGATACATTTAAATATATATAAATTTCTGTATTAGTTATTCCGACATGGAAAAATCAAGATTTTTTTTTCTATATATGCTTACTATATTTACAGATATTGAAGGGAGAAGACGGAAAGATTGAATCCGGAGTAAGGTTAATGAAGATGTCAAAACATAAATGCGGGACCTGTGGAAAATCCTATTCACAAAAGCAAGGATTATCTCGTCATAAAAGGACGGCTCACTCGGGAGAGAAACATGTGTGTATAACATGTAAAGTACAGTTTAGCAGACGTGACAACTATCTACGGCACATGAAAAGGCACAGATCCCAGCAAGGAAGAGATAGTAGTACTGAAACTAATGAGACTAAAGAAAAAGAGTTGTACACATGTAATGTCAAAGCCCTTAATGGAACCATAGAAACACATACTATCGAAGCAAAAGGACTGAATCAATTCGATTGTATTTCCATTTTCGATCCGATGACATTTCTGAACAGTCGGTATGACGATGTGAATGACATCATCAAACGCAAAATTAAAGAGAGTGGTGGTATAAAATGGTACCTGTCAATGGAAGTGAGAATGAGCAGGAGAAATGGAGAACTACTGGAAACAGCAGAACCTCATTTTCGCGGCAAATGTCAAACGAGTCTAAAAGTCGAAGATATTGACGAGGGCTTAAAGGAATCCTTTAAAAAGATGTCTACATCGTTCGCCAATTACCAGAACAAGGGGAGTAACTGGACCGTAGATGAAGTAAATGACTTGACGATAAATATGGCCCGGTATAGGCCACTTCGAGGGTCAAGTTATATTCCACTGCCGATCAAAATGGCGTCGAAAAAAGCAATCATCAATGTGAAAAACAAGGACAACAAATGTTTCGTGTGGTCAATCCTTGCTGCCTTATATCCTGCAAAACGAGATGCAGAGAGGACCTCGAAATATAAAAAATACTTTGGAATATTAAATATTGATGGGATTGAATTTCCAGTCAAAATGGGGGATATTTCAAGATTTGAGGAGCAGAATAATGTTTCCATCAATATATTTAGATACAAAAACACTGAGATCTTTCCTGTACATATCACCAAACATCGGTTTAAATCCCATGTAAACCTCATGCTAATCTCGAACAAGAAGAAAGTACATTTCTGCTGGATTAAAAATCTGAATCGATTATTTGGTGATCAAAAGTCTGCTGGACATAAGCATTTCTACTGCCCATACTGCTTGCACGGATTTACACAGGAAAGACTATTAACCAACCACGTACCATATTGTCAGGCGCACGGACCACAGAAAATCGTTCTCCCCAAAGAAACAGATAAGTGGCTGTACTATAAAGATATACGCAAACAGTTGAAGGTGCCGTTCATTATTTATGCTGATTTCGAAAGTCTGCAGGTGCCTCTGGTTGGATGTCAAAACAGTCCCAAAAAATCATCGACATCAAAGATAACGGAGCATACACCATGTGGATTTGCATACAAAGTAGTTGGTTTGACACCAGAAACGTCGAAAAATCCAGTGGTTTATCGCGGTGCCGATGCGGCTGATAAATTTGTTCATTATATGGTGAAAGAGCAGGAAGAAATAGAACAGAAATTTAGGCGTTGCAAGCCTGTAAACATGATGCGAGGTGACTGGAAGTCATACAAGAAGGCTACCCAATGCCATATATGTCTCAACGAACTAAAAGATGACAGTATAAGAGTTATAGAGCACTGTCACATAACCGGCAAATTCAGAGGTGCTGCACATAAAGAATGTAACATCAACTTCAAGTTTACAGGCCGAATTCCGGTTGTATTTCATAACCTTAGAGGATATGATAGTCATTTGATTATGCAAGCTATTGGAAAGGTCAACAAAAAACTAACGTGCATACCCAACAACATGGAGAAGTATATTTCTTTCTCAATGGGTTGTATGGATTTTATTGATTCGTATCAGTTCATGCCTTCGTCTTTAGAAAATCTTGTTGAGAACCTTGCAAAAGAAAATTCTAGTAAATTTCGACAGACGACGATGCATTTCACGGAAAAAAAGATACATCTGTTTCTGCGAAAACAAGTTTACCCATATGAATATTTTGATTCTGCTTCAAAATTTACGGAGTGTCAACTGCCACCAATTGAAGCTTTTTACAGTTCACTATCAGGAGAAGGTATATCTGAGCTTGATTATGTACATGCACAACAAGTGTGGCAGCAGTTTAACATGCAGAGTCTCGGAGATTACCATGACCTATACGTAAAAGCAGACGTCCTTGCATTAGCTGATGTCTTTGAAAATTTCAGAGATATCTGCCTCAACTACTATGGACTAGATGCTGCACATTTTTATACCTCACCCGGTCTCGCATGGCAGGCTGCCTTGAAAATGACACGAGTGAAATTAGAATTACTTACAGACATAGACATGCATTTGTTTGTAGAGAAAGGATTAAGAGGGGGAATATCGATGATATCTCATCGTCATGCCAAAGCTAACAATAAGTATATACCAGACTACGAAAAAAATAAACCAAATAGTCACGTGATGTACCTAGATGCAAACAACTTATACGGATGGGCTATGTCTCAGGCACTACCAGTTAAAGGCTTCAGATGGTTAGACGAGTTTGAAATAGAGAATCTAGATGTTAATGACATTGAAGATGATAGTGAAAATGGTTATGTTTTTGAAGTGGACTTGGAATATCCAACAAAATTACATGATAACCACAACGAATATCCACTGGCTCCCGAAAAAATTCAGGTAACAGAGGATATGTTATCACCCTATGCAAAAACGCTGCTTGAGGATTTAAAAGTAACAGGAACATCGACTGAAAAATTGATACCCAATTTATATCCAAAGGAAAAATACGTGGTGCATTACCGAAATTTGAAACAGTACTTATCACTTGGAATGAAACTGACTAAGACTCACAGAGTCATGGTATTTAAACAAGAACAATGGCTAAAGAAATATATCGATTTTAACACAGCCAAAAGACAGACGGCCCAAAATAGTTTTGAGAAAGATTTTTTTAAATTAATGAACAATGTAGTCTTTGGGAAGACAATGGAGAATTTAAGAAAGAGAACAGATATTAAATTAGTAAATAACCAATCAAAAGCCAGAAAACTAATCAACAAACCAACGTTCAATGCCTTCAAAATATTCAACGACGACCTGGTGGCTGTTCACATGCTGAAGCAACGATTATACTTGAACAAACCAATTTATGTAGGATTCACTATACTTGATTTGTCAAAAGAGTTGATGTATGACTTCCATTACAATAAAATAAAGGAGAAATATGGAGCAAAAGCAAAACTCTTGTTTACGGACACAGACTCATTATGCTATAGCTTCGAGACTGATGACATATACCAAGATATGATTAAGGACAAGGACTGGTATGATACATCAGATTATGACCCTGAACATCCACTTCATAGCACTTTGAATAAAAAGGTATTAGGAAAGATGAAGGATGAGACCAATGGTATTCCCATACAGGAATTCGTCGGTCTAAAGTCCAAGATGTACTCATTAATATATGAAGAAAATGGAAATCTCAAAGAAAAGAAAACAGCAAAGGGTATAAAAAAGAGTGTCACTAAGCTTAACACGAGACACGAACATTACAAACAATGTTTGTTTGATAAACAAATTCATATGTCTACTATGACACATATCCGTTCATTCGACCACCAGTTATATAATATTTCTATAAATAAACGGGGCCTGTCCCCATTTGATGACAAAAGATATTTACTTGATGATGGGATATCGAGTTACGCGTACGGACATTGCGACCTATGAAAATCTAGAGTTCGGAGAAGTTAATATTCCAGAGGACACAGAAAATGCATTTGCAAATAAACGCTTAGAAATGTTTTGTCTTTAATACGACGATGGTAGAACTAGCTTTATTCTATGGTAGTGCCGTTTGGGGATACAAATCTCACAGAACAATTAACAATGTACAGAACAAAGCTGCAAAATACTTGCAGTTAGGAAGCGTACCTCCAACACAGCGGTGCGCGGAGATCTTGGACTAACCTCATGTTATGCGAAGCAAAAACTGTCATGCCTACGTCTAAAATGTAAGATGATACGAGTTAACGATGATAGACTTATATCAAAAGTAGCAAAGTGGGCCTCGCGGCGACGAAAAGGGTGGCATCATCAAATAGACGTTGCTGATATTGTTCATAACGCCACTCTCAGTATTAAAACGGCGATGCGTCTCATAAATGAAAAACTTACAAACTTTGACCAGGCTGATTTCGAGAAAGATTTACATGACGACAGAAACAATGCTAACAGGAACAAGCTAAGGACTCGTATTTACAAGAAAAGTGTTAAAACAGAACAGTATATTCTTTGGCTTTTACCAAGAAACGTAACTCGAACTATGGCATTTTTTCGCAGTGGATCGTTACCCCTAGCTGTAGAGACAGGAAGATACACCAGACCGCAGATTCCGTTGGATAATAGACTATGTAAATTTTGTAAATTGAATGATGTTGAACACGAAACTCACTGTTAAATGGTTTGCCCTCTGTATGAAGACATTAGATATGATTTTTAATTCAACAAAAATGCATATTTCAGGGAAAAAACTTTTGGTACATAAATAATGAAAGTATATTTGTTCTAGTAGTTTATGTTATATGTTGATAGAAAATTTTTAATATATGTTTTTTAGAAAATTGGTAAAAGTGGTTTGAATTAATTTTTAGTCCCCTACCGACGAAGTCGAAGGGACTTTATGTAAGCACTCTGTCTGTCTGTCTGTCTGTCTGTCGGTCGGTCAGTCCGGAAAATCAGTGTTCCACACTTTTTTTCTTCGTGCTTAAAGATATTGATTTGATATTTGGTATATAGATTTATCATGACTAGTTACCGATCAAGTTTGAATTTTGTTCCGGTCTGATGATTTTGTGCGGCGTTATGGTCCTTGGACTTAGAAAATTCATGCAAGTAATCAGTTTTCCGGGGTTTTTTTTTGTCATATTTAAAGATATTGATTTGATATTTGGTATATAGTTTTATCATGACTAGTTACAGATAAATATCGAATTTTGTTCCGGTCTGATGATTTTGTGCAGAGTTATGGTCCTTGAACTTAAAACAAATTTAGGAAAGTAATCAGTTTTCCGCTGGTATATAGTTTTATCATGACTATTTACAGATAAATATCGAATTTTGTTCAGGTCTGATGATTTTGTGCAGAGTTATGGTCCTTGAACTTAAAACAAATTCAGGAAAGTAATCAGTTTTCCGCACTTTTTTTCATCATGCTTGAAGATATCGATTTGATATTTGGTATATAGTTTTACCATGACAAGTTGCAGATCAAGTTCAAATTTCTTTCGGTTACGATGATTTTTTTTTTGGCAGAGTTATGGTCCTTGGACTTTGAAAATTCACTCAAATAATCAGCTTTCAACACTTTTTTTAGCTCACCTCGCCCAAAGGGCCAAGTGAACTTTTCTCATCACTTGGCGTCCGTCGTCCTTCGTCGTCCGTCGTCCGTCGTCCTTCGTCGTCCGTCGTCGTCGTCCGTTAACTTTTACAAAAATATTCTCCTCCGAAACTACTAGGCCAAATTTAACCAAACTTGGCCACAATCATCATTAGGGTATCTAGTTTAAAAAATGTGTCCGATGACCCCGCTTGCCAACCAACATGGCCGACATGGCTAAAAATAGAACATAGGGGTAAAATGTAGATTTTGGCTTATATCCCTGAAACTAAAGCATTTAGAGTAAATCTGACATGAGGTAAAACTGATTATCAGGTCAAGATCTATCTGCCCTGAAATTTTCAGACAAATCTGACAACCTGTTGTTGGGTTGCTGCCCTTGAATTGGTAATTTTAAGGAAATTTTGCAGATTTTGGTTGTTATCTTGAATATTATTATAGATAGAGATAAACTGTAAACAGCAATTATGTTCAGCAAAGTAAGATCTACAAATAAGTTGTCATGACCAAAATTGTCAGTCGACCCCTTTAGGCGTTATTGCCCTTAATAGTCAATTTTTATAAATTTTTTGTAAATTTTTGTTATCTTTTACAAAAATCTTCTTCTCTGAAACTACTGAGACAAATTTAACCATACTTGGCCATAATCATTATTAGGGTATCTAGTTTAAAAAATTTGTCCGATGACCCCGCCTTCCAACCATCATGGCCGACTTGGTTAAAAATAAAACATAGGGGTAAAATGCCGGTTTTGGTTTATATCTCTGAAACTAAAGCATTTAGAGCAAATCTGACAGGTGGCAAAAATGTTCATCAGATTTAGATTTATCTGCCCTGAAATTTTCAGACGAATCCGACAACCCGTTGTTGGGTTGCTGCCCCTGAGTTAGTAATTTTACAAACATTTTGCAGTTTTTTGTTATTATCTTAGATATCATTATAATATCTAATATCTAATACTATTAATTATGATTTTAACCTTATTTTACATGATTTCCGAAGCATCAGTAAATACAGGTGAGCGACACAGGCTCTTGAGAGCCTCTAGTTTGTTATGCTTGAAGATATTGATTTGAAATTTGTTGTAAAGTTTACACTATGACAAGTTATAGATCAAGTTAGCATTTTGTTCAACTACAATGAATTTTTAACCGGTAGGGGACTATGTATTGCCATGCAATACTCTCAGAATGCTTGTTGATTCTATTTTCTTTCTCTCTTTTCTTTAACTTTTATTAATTTTAAATTAGAATATATAGTAATGTTTTATTTTTATCGAAGCTTTACCAATAATTTTGTTTTAGTCGTAAGATGCAATTTTTAAACTAGGTGTATTTAACAGTCTTAAATTTCTTTTAATTTTGATAGCAGATATTCCGCAGTTATTTCGCAGACGAAAGCAGATATTCCTTTCAATTTATTAAGTTTGCAAGATAAATGCATTAGATTTCTTATTATTTTCTACTTTTTTTATTTTTTTTACCTTGTGAGTTTGAGCTGTTTTATATGTATATAATAGTGTCTCATAAGTCTTTATAGGCTGGGTGCTGATCTTTTTGTTTATGCGATTGTATTTGTAAATATTTTACTCTTGTGTAAGTTCAATACGTGACACTTTAATAAAATTAATTTATCTTTATCCTATCTCTTTAATATTTTACAAATGGTGAGCAAATATACGAAATTATTTAAGAATTTGTCACCTTCCCAAAAATTTAATAAATTTTATAATTGCCAGTTTTATTATGTATCGTTTACGCTTCATGCCATACATATTTCATGTAAATGTGTTTAGGCAAATAAATATTGACTATTGCTAATTGCTTTACCCCTGACAGATAGTATTTTGGAGCGATAGTCAAATAGTTATACATTGGCTTACCTCTTCGAAACTGTTAAATAAGTTTGTAAAAAAATGTGAAATTAAAGATTTTACTTGAATAAGAAGGAAATGGTTGTAAATTACCGCAAAATTTTCAGACATTTTTTAAAGATCTTTCAATATCATTTTATGAATACAATGAGATATGCGGTATAAATCAATTAGGCAGCAACCCACCAACAAAAACACATAAAGCCATCAAGTTTATTACATGCAGTCCCAAACAATATACTACGTCTAAACAATTATAATTCATGCTCTAATTAATTGACCAGAGTCTTTACATAATTTGAATACATCAAACAAAACAATCAAAGAGTTGCCATCAATACCAAAGTCTACAATTAAAGAAATATATTAAGATGTGACATTAGACCACCACACAAAAAAAAACGTTCCTAGCTAGATATACGCAGACGAATATGTGGCACGGAGAACTAAATTTCGTTCATAACATTCATAAAAGAATGTCATTGTTTGCAAGTAAGACTTTTTTATAGACATGGGTGATTGTTTGTGTCAAATAAACACAAAATGACTAATACATTTACATTTAAATGTATATAAAAATAACTCAAATTAAAAATATACTTAACTGCACACATCTTCTGTAAATAAATCTACAGTCCACCATTCACTTAAAAAACAATTAGATACAGCAACTCGAAAACAGCTTAATATGTTCAATGGGTGAACTATTGTGCTCAGGATATTATTATGCATGCAAGTCAAACACGAAATTCGAAACATGTGACACATTTGTTTGCCTACTTAGTTTTGTTGCATCTTGTTTGTTGCATTGGAGAGGATGTTGGTTGAAGTTTAAAGTGCAGGTGGATACATACCATCTGCTTGTTTGGGAATAAGTTATTTAAGCAACAAAGAAAGGACTATATAATAGAAGTTATGAACACATGCTCAAGACCAAAAAAATAATATGTATATAGAGAGGACGTCTACTAGATTAACATTAACAGTATCTGAAATATGCTCAAATACTGTGAAATTCATGTGATTGATGCTCAATTCAAGACCCATTGGTGGCCTTCGGCTGTTGTCTGCTCTTTGTCTCTTTGACACATTCCACCTTTCCATTCTCAATTTTATCAATTCATGTTAATTTCATGTGAAAATTTCACTTGAAAAATTTAACGTGAATTATAAGGGAATCAGCAGTTCACGTTAAATTCACCAATTGTGTACAAGACCGACACGTAGTCATAGTGTTAAACTGCAAACTCACAATGTAGGGACACCCATGAATTATTCAAACTCCAAGCCACCAAGTACTAGTATTTGCTTTTACTCCTAAATGTTGCGTGTTTGGCAGAAAAGAAGCAAATAATAATTTTCAAATCTTTGGTTTTATCCTAAGTTGGGATGACAGAAAGTAGTTTGGGATAACAGACAGCAGTTGTCAGACAGATCTTAAAAAATTGCATCTTTTACTTCAGTTGGTCCCTGGCGGAGAGATGTTTCATTAGCATCGTACCACATCTTCTTATGTTTTATATCACATGTTACAATTCATTACGCTTAAGCTGCTGACCAAATATTAAAGTAGTACCCGAGAAAAGTGTGACGGAAATATTTGTTAGATGAATGGAAAAAAAAAGACTAACAGACAGACTGACAGACAAACGAATGGACAAGACGAATACAATTACGCTCCAACTTTTAAAGCAAGGATAAAATTTCATAAAAATGCCCAGAACCTAAGACTTCAGCCTAGAATTTCTATTTAGCAAACAGATCTTTTTTTTAAAGGAGCCATCTTTCCTATCGTAAATTCCCCAATTCTGGATTCCAAAAAATTAATTGTCCACGTTATTTCAGATGAGTTTTTAATTGTTAAGTTCGGTGTCAAATAGTATTAGTCATGATAATAACTTTATTCATAGAAAAACAAAGGATATGGGATATCCAACCATGCCACTAAAATCAGTACATGCATAGCCAAAAAACACACAAAACGCAAAGGAACAGCGCTGTTATTGCTGTTCTTCGTTTCAAATTCATGCCAGACCTTCAACACGGAGCAAAAAACAATCATGCTGGTTTAGACTGTACGACTATAATTAAAGTATTTCACTAATTGGTTGATTGACAATAGACTTATTTATATATGTTAAACGAATCACACTGTTCCATAGCTTTCAGTATCAAATAGACGTCTCATCTGTTACACAATGTACAAAGATAAGTGATGAGTTTGTATATTTGTTGGTATTCAAAAGACTTTGTTTTGTCTTCAAACACGACATGATTTTGGGGAAATCCATTTATAGATTTATATAGATATAAGAAGATGTGGTATGAGTGCCAATGAGACAAATCTCCATCCAAGTCATAATTTGTAAAAAAGTAAACCATTATAGGTCAAAGTACGGTCTTCAACACGGATCCTTGGCTCACATCGAACAGCAAGCTATAAAGGGCCACAAATAATGACTAGTGTAAAACCATACAAACGGGAAAACCAACTGTCTAATCTATATAAGAAACGAGAAACGAGAAACATTTATGAACCACATCAACAAACGACAACCGCTGAACATAAGATTCCTGACTAAGGACAGGTGACCATATCATTATTTCTTTGATTCCTTTTTGTTCTTAACAAAATCAAAAGTGAACATGATCAAAAGGTGTGAACTATCACGACTGAAATAAAATCAAGAAGTAACAAGATGTTTTCGTTTTCTGTGGCATGGGCTGCCTAAATAAATGAATGGCATTTAAGGTAATTTGTTACATATTTTATGTTGTTGAGTTGATGTCTCCTGATGATATACTCCAGTCTTGAGGAGTATCTACATGTATTTATTCCTCCTCAAATTCTTCACATAGCTTGATATACCATGTATACAAATATTTCAATTTCTAGATGAGAATATTTGATGCTTATTATAGGGTCTTTAAAAATACATGTTATTCAAAATGTTCCATTTCGTTCGCTTGCAATTACTTGATAAGTTATCAGTATCAAAGTTGTTTGGGAATAAGGTTATTAAACAGGGAGAAACACTTTTTTATTTAACTCAATACCAGTAATCTAATCAAAGCGTCTCATTTCCTAATAGATGTGTTTTGTAATCTAATTAAAATATAGAACTCCGATTTCGTAATACTTCATACGAAGTATAACGAAATCGGAGTTCTATATTTTAATTAGATTGGTGTTTTGGTTGTTCGTGCTGTTTGTTTGCTGTCTCAATAACTTGTTCATTATACTCCACACATCTCCTTTCATTCATAAAAAAACTATTAAAATAGCAGCAAATACCAAGTGCTGAAAATAGACCCTTAGGGTCAGGTGTTTAATGAGGTAAGGGAAGTACATTTATCATATAATTAACGACTGGTATCATAATTTAAAACTTTTCTAAAGAGTCATTCCAGTACACATGTACAAAGTAGAAAGTAATACAGGCAGAAAAGCAATGAAAACATGTCTTGTCTAAAGATTTATCTTTAATTGTTCAAGCTAACTTTTTTGAAAAGTTTCTTTCAAAACAATGTGAAAAAAAATCTTCATTCTTTTAACATTGTATATATTCCAATACCAGACAAGTAAACTTCTCAGCTCCATCCATCTCATTTATATAATTTGCTTTGTATTTGTAAGAATGCAGTTTTATATTTTGTTGGAATTCTTGTTCCGCATACTTTTGGCACTCGATCCTCAAAATTCTTAATACAGGGAAATGTACATCATTTGTAGATAAAGTACATGTAGGCACTTTCAAGATGAACAGACGTTTTAAAGAATTCAGTTATATGTAAATAGTCCACATGGTCAATTGAAAAAACATGATGTTATCCAACACATCACTTCTTCCTCCCATATTTACCATAACTATGTGTATGAAACCTGAAATTAAAGTCATCGGAAAATGAGAAGGTAATCATGAATGAAAAAACAAATATAGTTTGATTTTTAACTAATTATAAGCGACCATGAACACACAGAACCAATTTTCGTATAGTTTTGTTTGTAGATATGTATCATAAAGGTGATCAAAGGTATATGATTAAAACATGGTACCAACACAATCAATGACGACCAATGACAATTCTGTTTTTGAAGGCATAAATAATTCAAATGTAATGTCAAATGTAATATTAATGTCAAATCAGCATGAAATTAAAACCACTGACAGCTGCATTCTTCTTTTGTTTTCTTTTTTCTTTTTAGTTCTGAACAATTCTGAACTTTTTTCTTCCTCAATTGTCCAAGACCTCTAAGTTATTGAAAAATAACATTTTGTAGTTTATCTATAGTTGAAATATATCCCCCTCCACAAAACAAAAGATAAATAGTTAGTAATTAACTACTAATTATAAACTAAATATCAAAAATAGAAGAATTTTCCTGGTTTTAATATTTTTGAATATCTATTTATTCAGAGAACACCACCAAATAACGTTTAAAGGGTTAAGCAAATAAAGGAATAATTAGTGTAACTGTTGAAAAAAATATGCATTTATATCTTTTGAAGTTTTCTTCGTAGTACATACATAAGTCATGCATCTGTTATTTTATTAATTTCAAGACATAAAAATAAAACTTATTAATAGTCTTTTAAAAATTATATGGATTAAAAATAGTTTTCTAAACTTATCTTTCATACATGTAACTTGAACATTAAATGTTTATGTTGAGAAAATCAAAAGTGATGCTGGAAATCCAAGGATGATGCTTAAAAAGTCAAGGTTAGAGGAGTGATTTTTTTTTTTTTTTTAAATACCATATATAATGTTTGTATTAAACAATTTCATTATTGTATACATATGATACACATGGGCTCTCGGTCATAAAATTTTGCTTGGTACTCGCAGTACAAAAGTTGTGCTCGAAACACCAAATCCAGTATTTTGATTGGTTGATTTGTGAGTCTGAGCACGATAATTGTTTTTTTTTTTGTAATTTATTTCTTTCTTCATGAGTTAACAGGGATCAACATATATTTCTCTATTTTTCAACTATTTTCATATTTCCCAACAGATTGTGAAAAAAAAATGTTCTCCTCACTAGTGAAATAACTGTTCTCGGCAAATATTGGTCGAGATCTAATTTTGAAGTCAAATGTTCTTGGTTTCTTCTAAATTATATTTCCTATTGTGTCATGAAAAAAGGCGATCATTTCTGATGACGTCACATATAAAGAACAAAACTTTCTGCAATTCTTTGAAAAGGAAGAATAAAAATCATCAGAAAAGCATATTCCACCACTATTACTCATGCATTACGGTATTTTTCCGCTCTCATCAGTTAAATTTTAATTATTTAAAAAAATTTGGAATCCTCGCTCTTATAATATTAAAACTTAGCTGTCTTGAGTGGTAAATATTGGGCACACTTTTTTTCCAGTGATGGAATCTATATTTATTTTGTGGCACAATAATAAAGGACGTGAAAGAAATAAGCATACAAATAATGCAAGAACATATGCAAGATACTTATCACTACATGTCATAGGAGGCATATGTTATGGTATTCTTAGTTTGTTGTTGACCCCCTACCGCTTCAGTATTAACATTTAGCCAATTATTATAAAATGGAGGTCACATTTATTTGTAATGCTCTGGAAGGTTATTTGTTAAAAAAAATTTGCAAGTCATAAACAATTAAAGATATTATAGATATCATATGGTTGTACTATATGACTAACACGCTACCAGTGACACATATTAGACTAAAATAGCAACTTTTCCCTTCTGTTCGCTACAATAGAACACACACACACACACAAACACACACACACACAAACACACACACACACAAACAGATATGTTGTTACCATTAATCTATTTGTATTATGTAATGTAATTGGATCACGCCTCTGTTGAGCTCTTTCCAGTAAAACATTGGATTGAAATGAATTATAATGGATCTAAATTACATGTAGGAAAAATATATAAAATGTGTGCTAATAAACTCATCAGCATTAGATAGTTCCATCTGAGAAATTATAATGTTGATTTCAAGATAACAAAATCATCAGGAAGAATTGACAAATATGGCCGTATTTACGTCACGAATTTTACTCTGGGTAAACCAGCGTGCCTAGAAAAGATATCAGGTAATGGCTGGATCCAGATATATAAAAGCTATTTTGATCTTTGCTTCAGAAAATTAAAAAAATACCTGAATTTTGATGTTTTTTTAAGTCTGCATTCACTTGATGCGGTCGACTATGTTACACAATTTTGATCACCTATTGTTGTGCAGATATCTGTTGTTCCTCATTTGTTCATGTCAATAAAAACAGTCGACTACATTTTTTATATGGGGAGCGTTTCAAATATTCTCCCCAGGTCCACATGGTTGTCAGTAGGCAGAGTAAAAATTCTGGTGGAAACACGACAATATTTGTCAAAAAGGTTATGATGAACCCCAAGCGAGTACATCCCACAAGTAGTTCTTAACTTAACTGTCAAATTCGGAGAATAATTATTTCAGGGAGGTTTAAAGATAATTATTGTAAAACGATATCGATGGCAGTTGGTATAATATATTTAATCTTGGAATATTTTGCTATATATCAGTAACTCGTGTTCCAGCTATTTGCACTTTATTTTATCATATTCATCCGACTGCCGTTTTTACTGGTTATCGAAGGTACATGGATTTTTACTGTAAATAACATAATAAAACACTTCATGATCTGGGACTTCTTGCTTGCACATACGAAAGAACAAAATGGATGAGTGCTGATAATGTGTAAAAAATATTATAACGAATATTATTATTTGTATCAATTACTAGTATACCAATATCATGAAGTTTCTTTTTTTTTTATTTTCCCACCTGAATATCTAAATATTGCGTCAGAATCGGTAATTTGGTAACTACTACTACACATACAACTACTACATTAACTTGTTGCTGGTGTACTTTGTTACGGCTTTGGTACCTTAACCTACGGTGTGCTTGACCGTTTTCCCGGGTAAGAGCAGACGTACTGCAGTTTGGATCTCCCGAGAAGTGATGATAGATCTCTTGTTAAATTGGTCGAGACGGGAAGCTTCTGTGGCGATTCTTACAAGGATATCGTTGACATAACTTTTTATGATAGACATGGCATTTGAGGATACACCAGTATTTGTTAAATTTATTTTAACTATTTGTACTTTTTTTTTTATTAAAGTTTTTCCCATAAGCATATATTACAGTACAGATTGCTATTTCGTGGCAGTCAGTTTTAATTTGCGGATGAAATTGGAGTGGAATTGCTATAAAGAGTATATACAACACGGATAACGAATCAACCGAATCAATATGTATGTCTTGCTCTTCTGGTACATGTGCTAACATGATAAAGAATACTGAGTGTCCTATCTGTCTAGAAACCATTCACGAAACAATGAGGCGGGGGACAGTTAACAACACAAAGGATATCACCATTATGATCAATATCAATTGCTGTCATAGTGTGCATTCAGCCTGTTCGTGAAACTGCCGGGAGGGACTTAATGTGTGCCCATACTGCAGAGCAGAATGGATAAGTGTCTATGAAGTTTAAAACCCGGCCATCTAGTTTTCTGGATTTCCAAGTAACTGGTCTTGTTGACGTGTATACAACATTTACAACTACTACGTTAACTGGTTCATCCCATCACCTCTCAGTCCTTACAGCCGAACGGACGTGCTGGATCAGCCCATGGTGACGAACCCAATCTATCTACGTAAAACCGAAATGACGACAACAACAGAATTTTAATGCTCACCACATGCCTATGTACATGTCGGAAAAAACCACGAAGAAGAACATTTAGCTACCTTGTTGCTTAATTGAATAAAGATATTTGTATTTACTCTTCAGTGTTTTTCTTTGTTTTAAGCCTTCGTTGGTCAACACGATAACAAAAATATTGAAAAAGAATTCAATGGGTACTAAATATTGGCATATGGTTGAAAAGTCTATAGCTACAGTTAAAAAAATGATTGATTCTGTGAAAGTAATTTACAGATAAATTTATCTTTACGGGGCAACTCTTCCTCCATAATGACTTAATACACCAAGGAGGTTAACTTCACTTCCATAGGGTTTGCATTGTAAATATTGCGCCAGAATCGGTTATTTGGTAACTACTACACCTACAACTACTACATTAACTTGTTGCTGGTGTACTTTGTTACGGCTTTTACCTGAACCTACGGTGTGCTTGACCGTTTTCACCGGTTAAGAGCAGACCTACTGCAGTATGGATCTCCCGAGAAGTGATGATAGATCTCTTGTCAAATTGGTGGAGACAGGAAGCCTTTGTGGCGATTCTCTCATGAATATCGTTGACAAAACATTTTATGGTAGACATGGCATTTGAGGACACACCAGTGTTTGTTATATATGTTTTAACTATTTGTACTTTTTGTATTATTATAGTACAAGCATATAAGCATATATATTGCGATTTCGTGGCATTCAGTTTTAATTTGCGGACGAAGGTGGATAGGATTTGCTATAAAGAGTTTATACAACATGGATAACGAAACAAACGAATCAATGTGTATGTCTTGCTCTTCTGGTACATGCACTAACATGATAAAGAATACTGAGTGTCCTATCTGTCTAGAAACCATACACGAATCAATGAGGCGGGAGACAGTTAACAACACACAGGATATCACCATAAATATAGATTGCTGTCATGGTGTGCATTCAGCCTGTTTGAGAAACTGTATACGACATCAATAACTACTACGTTAACTGGTTCATCCCATTACGTCTCAGTCCTTACAGCCGAACGAACGTGCTGGATCAGCCCCTGGTGACGAACCCAATCTATCTACGTAAAACCGAACTGGCTAGTTTTTTTTTCATCTTGACAACAACAGAATTTTAATGCTCACCACATGCGTTAGGACAT